TCCATGTGGGAGGGGGTGCATGGGGAGATCAGGGCTGGGGGTGCAAGGGCACAGGGTCCCTGGTCTGGGGACACCGGGGGAGCTAAAGGGGATGAGGGCTTGGGCACCCTGGTAGGGTGCAGAGCCCTTGGGAACAGCCCGGCAGTGGGCACTGCGTGGAAGTAGAGGAACCTTTGCAGCACAGCGGAACAGAGGGACATGGAGACACCACAGGCAGGCAGGAAAGTGGAGTGTGACCCCACCAAGGGACTCCTCTCTCACCCCTCATCTTCCACCCTGTCAGGCCCCAGTGGGAACCTCAGGGAGGCCACCATGTCCCAGGCCACCACCTGCTTCGAGGTGAGCCTTCATTCCTGTCCCTCCATACAGTGGGACATGAAGGCCACCCCCTCTTTTTGCCAGCATTTAACCTCTTACATCTGACCTTCCCACCCTCCCAGCAGCAGGGGCATGGCAGGGAGAGCCCCCCACCACCAGCACCGGGATTCCCTCATGTCTTCTCTCCAGAGACACTGTTTCGGCAGGCAGGAGGGGTCACCTACCGCATCCCAGCTCTGCTCTACATCCCCGGGGATGACACCTTCCTGGCCTTTGCTGAGAAACGCTCCTCAGCCAGGGATGAGGACGCCAAGTACCTGGTGCTGCGACGTGGCCGCCTGCACGGCTCCTCCGTCAAGGTAAAACCAGCCTGGGCTGTAGGAACAAGCTGTGACTCCATCCCTGGAGCGATGCCGGGTGGTTTCAGGTTGCAGCAACACCCGTTCGTCCCACGGCTGAGTCCCGTTTCCCTCCTTGCCGGCAGTGGGGTCCGGTGGAGGAGCTGTCGGCGCTGGTGCTGCCCGGCCGCCGCACCATGAACCCCTGTCCCCTGTATGACGCGAGGAGCAGCACCATCTTCCTCTTCTGCATCTGCGTGGAGCGGGGCAAGACGGAGCGGCGCCAGATCTGGAGAGGGTGCAGTGCCGTGCGCCTCTGCTACACCACCAGCACCGACAGCGGCCGCAGGTGGACTGCGCTGCGGGACG